CAACCCTGGCTACTTGGCCCTGAACAGGAGCCAGACAAAAGATGACTACAATCGTAACTACGTTCAGAAAGAAGATAATGGCGATAATGTGCGACTTTTAAGGTGGCATCGATTCTGAGCATTCATCGGAGGATTGAGCACAAGACCAAACATGCGCTGCTAGTCACCTTATAAGTATGATGTATCAGATTAATCTCTTATTTTGGATGGCCATTCGATTCGATATCTACTTATAACATGAGTCTAGCTTACCGGTCAACTCAACAAAAAGCTGGTTAGAAGTTTGCCGCAATATTTAGTTTGCCACCTGGATGTTTGTCAAGCTAGGACGGTAGAAAGTGGGCAGCTCAAGTCTGCGTCGCCTGGAACACCATTGACGCACCAAGCAAGCTGCCCAGCACGCGTTCAATGGTATTGGCGAGGAGTCATGAGATTCCGCACGAGAAGTAGAGATGGAAAGCAACGTCGATCTATAATTCGCCAATACCATTAGTCTCAAAGATAGATAGCACAGAAACCGATCAACGACAATCAAGCAGCTGTCTTAAGAGAATAACAAATGACTCGAGTCTAACAGCAATGTCAAATTTCCCTTGAAAGGCTACCTCTGATACCTGCGCCTTACATACCGGCATTTCACAGATGAAGTACTATGCCCCTCTCCACCAGACCAGACTCTCATGAAATCAGATTCAACGCCACAGCAGCAGTCTTGGCAACGGGCGCACAGCGGCCTCGGCTCCTTCAGCCGGTCTGGGTTCGGTATTACAGCTCACTGGGCAATCGTCCCGAAGTTGAACAGGATGGAAGTCGAAACCGGAGAACCGCCTGGGGATTTGTATACGCTCCTCCGCAAGTGGGGAAGGTTGAAACTATAGGGGTTCGTTTCACCAATTTGATTTTCGAAGTTTGTGTCCGTTCGCCTAGAAGCTGTAAAGGAAGGACCAACTAGCGTCGAGAACGTGACCGACACCTCCGAAGGCTGCCACCATGAAAACACTTTGTATGAAGTGATGGTGGGATGGAGACACCGTGATTGAGAGGGTTGTAAGGTATCCGAGGTGACGGTACTATACATTGGATAATCACTCTGACAACCAGTATTCGACACAAGCTTTGGTTCCTCTCTTACAATTTCTTTTACAACGTACTCGTATTCGTTCGGCAAGTGAAAGGCGGCAGGGGAGCCAAGAGCTACATCCGTAACTCCCAACGTCTCCTGCGAGCCCATGGCATGCATCGCAGTTAGATCACAAAAGATGAAGTCTGACAATTAGCAGTGCGAAAATTGAATACTATGACAGACGGTCTCAAGCAATTTCATATCAGCGTAGCATTGGTTCGAGCGACAGTTGAGGATGAAATGAAGTCCAGATGGAGAGGAGTGAATAGGGGACAAAACGAGTACTTCAAAGCAAGGAGACTGATGGGCCTATGAGGCCATCCAATAGTTCCAATCAGAGACAGCCTGACGCTTGTTCGGGTTGCGAGGCCAGGAATAGAAGCGGCGACCAGGTTATCACCATCAGTCGTCGTCTCAGAAGCCGCGAGACAGCGAGAGACTCATACCGCATGCGAGGTTACCCGGGAAATGACCGCTGTGGACGAACGTTGCACGAGCTTTCTCCATTGCCCAAATCATCTGAACCGCTCTCTGAGATGGCACCGCAAATTGACAAATTGCTGTCAGACCCATTCAGCTCCGGGGTCTCTGTGTATGAGGTGATTAAGCATAACCAGGCGCAGTAGTCACCTTGTCCAGCCCGGCTTAGTTTTACTCCACGACCCTCAAACTCGGTGTCGCTTTCTAAGATAATACGACGCGTTTGACGTTCGGTCTGAAGCCAAAGGTGGGCACAGATGCCATCTGTTTGGTCAAGATACCGCCGTCAGCGAATGATGAAAGGATATCGGTAATGCAAGTTGGAACGGGCGTGCAGGAAGCTGAAATCAGCACCTTAAGGTATGTCGGAGAACACAGCGATTGGCAGAACATAAATTCAATTTGCTCGTTGTTCACGTTCTCACCGGTAAGCTGGAGTGTAAGGATGATGCGGTAATGAGATGGCAAGGAGTTGGTCAACAGCTAGGCCATCTCGTCTTCTCGACGCTCGCATTCGTCGACACTCGCCAAAGAAGGGGAACGATGCTAGACAAAGGGACGAATGTCAGACAAGGGAACGTTTGGGGCGAATAGGGTTAAAGGGGAGATGGGTTGTACTGACCAGGGACCTCCGTGGAGGTTATTTGGCAGAACCATAGGAATTGAAATCATTTCGTCGGATTTTGCATAGTCCTTGTAGAGTTGTCTGAAGGCAAACCCGGGCCAACCTGGCAACTGTGCCTGGAATCAGTCAACGACTGGCTTTGGTTCGATAGTTCGTTCTGCCCAAGGCCCCAAGAGCCTGAGTTTGGAGAAGGGACTACAGAATGATCAAGAAGCCAGGGTGCGTCAAGGATCTTTCCATCGGCGAGCAGCGACAAATTATTTACTTACCAATCAGGAAATTCAAGGGGCGTAGGGATGGAAACCGGTTAGCCCCTCGAAGAGACGGCAGGAAACGGAGGCATCGTGATCCGCGCTGAGGCAAGGTGAAGAGGAATCTGAATGATGAGATCGATCGCCGCGGACCGATGTTCTGTTGGTCGGGGAAACATCAATGCCGGCCTACAAACGTTGCGGATTTCTCGCTAGCTCGGTGAGCGACAAGGCTGGAGATCGCAGGTGTGTGACCTTGCCGTCGCGGACGTGAGAAGCGCGCTAGAGGTCGCGGAGGGCGAGTGGCCCAGACATCTATCCCAAGTTTGATTTTGCCGTTGACCGGCAGCGTCTGCCCAGGTGTACCAAGGTTGTCACAGAAGAGGTCTGAGAGACGTGTTGCCCCTGCTGGTGGCATGTCAGAGCGGACGGGAGCCACATGTCATGTCAGCCACCGGGAGCAGGGCTAGCCCATCTACGGGTGACGAGGGTCAAGTGGCGGGCTGTCTACCATTTGGGCCATTTCGCCATGGCTGTGCCGAAGGAGAGGTGGCGCTAAATCTAGAACCGTCTTGGCACAGAAAGGTGAAGACAGAGTGAGGATGGGAGCGAACCATCCCGAGGGGCTCAGGGGCTAAAGGGACGAAAGCGAGATACTATAACGGGCAGTTGCACCGTATTGATTTGGAAAGAAGTTCAAGCAATCGTTCCATGGCAAGGTAGCATAGGGCATGAAGTAGCCCGTGTATAGTTGTGAGAAAAAGTCAATAGGCTGAACTGACTGAAGACAAGATGCGCCAAGGGCGGGTTATGTTAAAGTTGCGGGATGACAGATTGGTTTAGCATTGTGCCTGCATTAGTCGTGGATGATGGAGTATGGTCGGGGAATAAGAGAGCCACCAGGAACAAGCACAGGCACGGGAAGGAAGCCGAAAACGAAGGTCAGAAAGAAAGCAATCAACCAACTTGGTTAGGTAAAGTAGGACTGGCCCAAGCAGAGACAAGACTACTGCCATGCACAATTAAGCATATTTGTTTGATGACGCGGAGGAAACGTGTACGTTGTGCAGACACTTACACTTACACTTCGATGTAGGTACTCCATACACACTTGCATCAACATGCTTCTGCTACCTTACCTAAGTATGTAAGTATGTAGATAATTACACGTACATCCATGTGCAGGACTCTTGGAGAGCCTATCAAGATTCGAGAGGCGTTAGTTGGCTGTCCGCTGCCTCGGATGCCACGAGCGCCACGAGCTTAAACAGTCCAAGCTTTGCCTCTAAATTTGGTTCCCGTTTCAAGCTTCAAGCAGGGGGCCTCGGTACGTTGCTATCCTTGATTCACCTACAACCCCTGCCACGCCCACGCCTGGCTGAGGTGATGAGATCTGCTGCCCCCCTACTCCGTACATAGTCTCCTAGTCTTCTTCCCGCCGTAATTCTCCGAACACAAACGCTCGCGTCAGTCTCAGGCCGGGCCTGCTTCTCCGTGTCTTTGCGAATGATGCTTGTCTTACGTTCTTACTCGCAGAGTCACACTAGCTCCTAGCCACCACGTTGAAGAAACAACTGTATCTCTCGCACGGTCTGACGTAACTCGGACGCTCTTCCGCTCTCCTTTGGTCACACGGCCACCTCAGGTCAGACTCACCGTTATGGGGAAGGGGGAGCACTGACAACCACACTGAGCTGTCTGTCACAACACAACACCCATCAGAAAGGGGAGCCACAGACAGAGAGCGTGTCTGCATCACTTCTGGTTGACATACAGCCCTCCAAGCCCGCTAGAAAGCTTCCATTGCTGCAGGCCGCGTTCTATCGTTTGCTCCTCGCGTTAGTGCAGGCTACAACGGCGGGATCTTGAGTCGATCTCTCATGCATTGCTTCGCTCGTTGTTCGTCACCACGCAGCAACCTCATTACCACAAGGTTTTCTGCTCACCATAGACCCCTCCTTGATTCATAGAAACAGATAGTCATACCATGGTGCCGACAGGCAAACCTTCCATTCGCACCACTCGGGTGCATATCGCGGACGCACATCGCGGGTGATCGCCCGCCGGAGGAACACGAACACTCCAAAATCGCTGTCCTAGGCTGCAGCGGCATCAGCAGATCTCATCTTAGGCTTATTCGAACACCCCGAGACCGTGTCTCTCTAACTACCTACTTACCCCGGATGTGGAGAGGGCTACCAGTCTTGAGATGCATCCGGCGCCAGCTAATCAAGCGTAAAACCACAATCACCGCCAACCATGGCATGTCTTCCGTAACCAAAGAAAAGTACTTCTCCCCGTACACACGGCCAGGGCAACGGCCGCACTTCCTGACTCCCAAACGTAGACCAGCGTTTCCGAGCCTGGACTCGGAGACTCTTGAGGCCTGCTTCAGGGCTGAGGCGATACAAATCCTTCCTACCAAGACTTTTAGCCAGGGGAAATAAACGGGTCCTCGAAGGCTTAGCGGACGGAGCTCAACGGTTGCGCATCGAGAGTCCCTGCGAACATCACGTTAGATACTCCATTCCGTAGCGGTAGGCCACAGAAGATCTCCCCTTCACCTCTGGCCTGGCGACTCCAGATCTTCCCTAGGTCCCAAGCATGCCAGTCCGATCACCGAAACCGTAAACTTCTTGGCTACCGTAAGAAGGCTGCATCAAGTTTCTGACTCTTGAACCAATCGGAACTCTGGTTGTCTCTTCTCGTGCGTCCCCTACACCTAAAACCTGACTTGCTGACTACAAGCTACGCGCGTGTTCCTGAGTTGGCAGAGTTCCATAGTCCCTGAGTTGCTGTGTTCTTCTCACATCGTCACTCAAATCAACTTCAAGGCACAGCACGGCCATTCGTCGCCAAGACCTCCACTGAAACAGATTCGCGAGCAAAGATTCGCCAAGCTTCATGCACCCGAGAACCTAACTTCACATCCCAATGATCCCACACATCGTCCCTCAATGTCTCTCCCCCTCGAGCCTCGAGCCTCGAGCTAGCAACCCGGCAGCACATCGACACATCCTCGCGCATCCTCCACATCGCGAGCCCCTCGCCGCATATCCAAACTGCACACCACTCAAATCATTCCGTCTCCTAAACACGCCGTACACCACCAAACACGCACGCGCGCAGCAACTACCTTAACAAGGGCAACGAGGCGCAGTAGCCCCAACCCATCCAAGCCTAGCAGCACCCCCAGGATCTGTATGTGGGCGGGTGGATTCTCGGGACGCTTCCACGTCTCTCTTTCTGGAAGACGACTCCAGCAACGTAGATGCGATTTGCTCTGAGCTGCCTCTTGGCGATCCGTTTGTGATGCTTCAACTTCTAAACCCCAGCCTCCTTCGTATCGCATGTCCACGCTTACCGTCCAGTGACCCGCCTCCGACGTCGCCGTGGTCTTGTCGTCCCAACTTCACCTGGTTGAATCACGGTGAAGGGTTTTCACAATTCCAATTTCCTCGCGTTCAGCTGGGAAGTCAATCAAAGGACAGAATCCGAGGTTCACACGCCCCCGGCCAGCCCACTCACGCCCCTCCTCTTGTTTCCCTATGCTGCTTGAGCCGACGCGATACCGAGCCATGCTTGAGGTTGACTTCAACTGACGGCTTCAAGGTCCTAGCCATTGGGAACACACTGACACTAACGAAGGGTTGCAGGGTGCAAGGTCTGATCGGGGATGCAAGGTAGGCCGGCAAGGGCGAGTCTATGTCTCTCCTTGCCGCTAATGTACCTCTGTGTACGTATGAGTGCGCGTGTATGGGAGGAGGAGAAGGAGGTGAGGTTCAGCTGAGAACAGACCCTGGAACCTCATCGTCTACATGCTTGCTTGCCCACCCGCCTGGCCTTGCCTTGTCTCTGCCTACACCGCACTGCTTCGTTGCTTTGCTTGCTACGACGGTGGTCCAGCATGGAACGATCTGATTCCGAACCTCCCACCCAAAATCCGTCCCATCTCAACCCAAGGAATTTGTCAAATTCGTCTCCCCTGACTATGATATGGAATGCCAAGCAAGTCCAGTCGAGACCTTCTATATAACAGTCCCGTCCACACCATCACATCTAACCTTTTTCCCTACCTCATCACACAGCATCAACAAAGCAAGCCTTTCACTTCTTCACACTTTCCACTTTCCTTACCTATCTCAGCCCCGGTGGCTCTTCACGAATAGGATCTCTTAATCTCTAAAACCAACTCCGATTCACTCTAGTTTCCTCAAGCTCGAATCTCTCATTCAAAATGCGCTCCCAATCGCTTCTCGTCGCCGCCCTGGCTGCTACCGTCTCTGCTCACGGCACGCTGATGTCCGTCGAGGGCGCCAACGGCGTCACCATGCCCGGTCTCACCAGTAAGCTTTTACCACTTTCCTGAGCAACATAGTTTGCTCTTCCACATACCTACACATGAATAACTAACTTACTCACCTTTCAGTCGCTGATGGAACTCCCCGTGACTGCTCCTCCAACGGCTGCGGCTCTCAGGCCGACACTGCCATCATCCGTGACCGCGAGATCGCCTCCGGTGAGGTTGGCCCTCTTGGCCGCACTCAGGGCAACGGCCCCGTTGACGCCTCCGTGATGGTCAACAACTTCATGGGTGGTGCTGCCGCCCCCAAGAACAACGGCGCCGCATCTGGCACTGGTGTCGAGGACAACATCCCCAACATGAAGCGCGCCGAGCTGTACGCTCGCCAGGGTCTCGCCGGCCTCTTCGGTGGCGGTGGCAAGAACAAGGGCAACAAGCAGAACGGTCCCCCGGAGGCCCGCGTCGCCGCCACTGCTGGCATGGGTGCCTCCCAGGGCATGCCCACCGCCGCCGATGATGGCACCATTTCCATGACCTTCCGCCAGATCAACCAGGACGGCGCCGGTCCTATGACCGCCGACGTCGACGGCACCTCCGGCGGCACCAAGGAGGAGGCATTCCAGAGCGCTCAGGTCACAACTGACGTCCCGGGCCTCGGCGTTCAGGGTCTGTCCCTTGCCACCAACACCGACTTCCCCATCAAGGTCCAGATGCCCGCTGGCATGACCTGCGACGGTACGGTCGGCATGGCCTCCAACGTCTGCGTCGTCCGTGTCCGCAACGGTGCTGGTGCCGGCCCCTTCGGTGGCTCCGCTGCTTTCACCCAGTCCGCCGCCGGCCGCAAGCGCGCCATCGCCTACCGTCTCAAGAAGCGCATGGAGCTCAACAACCGCGCATAAGCGGCTCGTCCAGCGATTCTTTGATGAGGATCTTCTCGGTGTGTCAAACCTGGGAGTTTGGAGGACTCGATCGACGCTGCAGGAAGTCAGGGACTTCTGAGGCTTGGTGGATTCCAGACTTGGGTATAGAGCTTTTTGGAAACGGCCGTTCTTTATTTCCTACATACTATTTTTCTTATTAGGTCGTCATTTTTCCATAGGCAATTGACGCCGATCGGAGTTTGAAAAATCTCTTCTACACTCTCGCTGTGATGTGATCCTATGTGACAATGTCAACACAACAAACATCACTATTCGTCAGCCTGACAGTCAGACCTCTTCGCCGATACTTCCATCACCCGGCAAGGCAGATGCTTAAAGTCGAACAGACAAAATGACCCGAGGATACTAATCAGGCAACGCTTTGAGGCAAACACTGCCCTCGTCCGAAGCTGAATAGACTTCTGATGCACAGGCCATATCCCTTCTGCTCGGTCTTGCAATGACTTGACACCGGACTTGTGTCAGGCGGACAGGAAACTAAACACTTTTGACCAATAGCGGTGGAGGAAACATTGTGGTTCTCTTGTGAATTTGATTTTGGCCTGGCCATTCGCATGCCTCTCTCGGCCATACATGTACTGAGAAAGAAAGAGATGGACGGGAGGTGTCTATTGCAAGAAACGAGATGATAGTCAATCATTCAACGAGTATTCTACCCACATGACGCCCTTCCCCAGGCCGAAGATCCAATCTTCGGCCGCCAGGTTCACTCTATCCCAACGCCGGATTTTGATGCTATGCCGCCAGACTGTCATGTATTATAGCGGTGCCTCTATTTCTAGGCTGCTGCCATTTAGAGTGTAACGATGCGAACAATTGCGCAGAAACTGTCTGCGTTGTTTACGGGTAGAGCATTGATGATACACCCAGATGTTATGCTTTTGCTGAATCATGAAAGTGCGCCCCTGTGGATGGAAGCTAAGGAGAAAATCACCATCGGCGACTTCGATGCCGGGTTAGTGAGAAGAAAAAAAAGAAAGAAAAAACGATAGCCATTGAAAGAAAACTTACCTGTAAGCCGAATCAACTTTAGTGACGCGCTTACGCATCTTCATTCCATCCGGCTTGCCATCTCGGTCTCCCTTGGACTTGGGAGCAATGCCGAGGAGCTCGGCCTCTAGTGCAGATAGTTCCGATGCATCAGAACCAAAGGACGCTACAGATTGCCTGGAAGCTGGACGTGATTCATCATGGCTGCTGTGAGATCCACGGCGGCGGGAGTGGCGAGAACGAGATCGAGACCGAGACGCCTGTCGACTATGTGGCCGACTGTCTGGTCGTGATGCTCCGCGATGAAGCATAGGCGGTGATGCCCCCCTTTCCTGGAAATTGTTGGTCGATGTCTGTCTGCGAACGTTCTGAGAGCTGTAGTAACCAGAATCCTGGAGTCCCGCGTCTTCAAATCGCCTTGATGGGCCAGCGTCTTGAGACTCGTCCAAGGACAAGAGAAGCGTCTGGCTTGGATCGGAATCAGTGCGTTCTGGTCTTTGGTGACGATAGCGATCCGTCGGTCTCGAGTCCTCCCTAGATCTCCGATTGTGCGGTGAGGCGGCATTATAGCCGGGAAGCGAGTCAACCTTGTGCCTCTTGTGACGATGATCCGCCCATTCGCCACCTTCTGGGACGGCCCTGGCTCGAGGGTTCTTGTATGTTGAATCGTCCAAAGTCCGCTTTCGATTATTGACCAGACGGTATTCACGGTTCTCTGGAGTAGGAGGTTTCGGAGGGAGAGACGGAAAACCTGGAAGGCGACTGGACTTGAACGTGCTGGGCCTCTCTCGTGGCTCAGGGGGTTGTTGAGGAGCACTTCCCTCAGGGCACTTCCAGAATGCTGGATCGTACTGCAACGTGACGAAGAACTCGGTTTCTCGTATCGGCCGCGAAAATTCCATGAGGTTGCCTTCTGTTGCAAATCGAGACTGAATCCAAGTGGCGTTCCACGCCGGAGGCAACACAATATTATCGTGGTATTCCTCAGGCCCCGGTAACGGCTTAGCAATTGGGTCTGGCTGGTGGGTTTTCTCTAGTTCTTTGAAGATCATCTCTTCCTCCCAGTCCCAATCGTACTCTTCATCAGCTTCCTGTTCTGAAGCACTGTTGATGTTTACGCTTTTAGGTGTGTTGCTCGCGACTGATGGCGCCTCGACGGCCTTTGATACGGCTTCGAGCTGTGGCAGTGTTGGCTCTGGTCTGGCTTTATTTTCCGACTTTGGTCTAGGCTGTGAAGGTTCTCGTTTCGACTGATTGCCTTGTTTATTTCGGCGAGAACGATCTCGATTATTATGCCCTTGGCGATGTCGCCCATTTCGGTCTCTTGGCGGCTGATTCCTATGAGGAGGAATTGGCGGGAGCCCCGGTGGTGTAGCACGTGGAGGGCCAGGCAAAGGAGGCGGGTGACCATATCCTGGAGGTGGCGGCGCCCATGAGGGAGGGTAAGTACTCGGTGTTGGGGGCGGTTGAGACCCATAGTGCGGCTGAGGATAGCCTCCCGGAGGCGTTGAATTATATGAGGGCGGGTACTGGCCGCCTGAAGGTGGAAGACCGGAATGATATCCAGGCCCAGAAGAGTAAGATGGAGGAGGAGGAGGAGGGTAAGGAGCACTGCCAGCGTATTGTGGTGGTGGTTGATAAGGAGGAGGCGGCAGTCCAGACGGACCGGGAGGCGGAGGCGCGCCATACTGGCCAGATGGTGGATAATGGTATGGTGCAGGAGGAGCGGGAGGTGGTGGGTGGGCACCCGGGGGAGGCG